TGACTTGTTGCTTCTGGTAAGAGAGTTTCTGATCAGGGGTCACATTTTTAAGGGCATCAACTCAACTTTTTTAGCTTTGATTCCTAAAAAGTCTATGATCAGTGAACTCTCTGATATCAGACCTATCAGTTTGTTGACGAGTATTTATAAAATCATTGCCAAAGTATTAGCCGAGCGTCTTAAAGATGTTCTACCATTCCTCATTTCAACATCACAGTCGGCCTTTATCCAGGATCAACAAATTACTGATAGTGTCCTCGTGGCACAGGAATGTATACACTCTCATGTACTGAGTAAGAAGGAGGGGGTTTTGCTAAAATTGGCCATGGAGAAGGCGTATGATAGAGTGGAGTAAGGGGTGCTATTAGAAATTATGAAATTTATGGGTTTTGAAGTTAGATGGAGAAGTTGGATTTATGGTTGTCTTTCTTCTGCCCATTTCTCTATGCTTTTCAAAGGGAGTCCTAATAGCGTTTTCAATGCCTCTAGGAGACTTCGTCAAGTTAGAGAATATTGGAAGGTTTTTGGAAATTTACGAAGTGACTTTGGGGATTAAAGTTAATTTCCATAAATCCTCTTTGGTGGGCATTAACTATATAGGATCGGTGGTGGAAAATTTGGTAAGTGTTATTGGATGTAAAGTGGGTGTTTTTCCCATTTTCTATCTGGGATTACCTATCTCTTATTCAAAATTCTCTATTGCAGTGTGGGATAAGGTTATTGAAAGGGTACGAGTTAAGCTTGATTATAGAAACATAAATACTTATCTTTGGGGGGTAGGGTTACTTTGTTAAGATCTTGCTTGGCTAATCTTCCAATCTATCAGATATCTGTGATCCAATTCCAGCCTCAGTGGGAGGAGAATTGAGAAAATGGTGAAAGATTTTATGTGGGGTTTGTGTGAGGATTGCAGGAAATTCCATCTTTTGAGGTGGGATAGAATTTGTACCCCTAAGCATGAAGGTGGTCTGGGTATTTGGAATGTCAACAAATTTAATCAAGCATTGTTGTGCAAATGGTGGTGGCATAGTGTTCACTTTAATGACCATCTTTGGTACTAAGTTCTAGCTTCTAAGTATGGGACGGATTGTTATAATTTGTGTTTTGGTGGTAGTAGAGGAAATGAGACTTCTTAGATGTGGAGAGCTATCTTCAATTGTAGACCTATGATTTCAGAGTACTTTAGATGGAATGTTGAAAGTGGTAGGCAGGTCCTATTTTGGCACCACAAATGGATCGGGGACTTCCCCCTTAAAGTTGCATTTCCAAATCTTTTTCGGGTGGTCACTAACCCAAATTTGCTGATTTGTGAGACTATGGAAAGGAGAGGTCTTTTGATATCTTGGAATATCCCTCTCATATATAGCCGTTTAACTAACTTGATGTTATCCCAATGGTGTACACTGATGGAACTCTTGGATACAGTATATATCTCATAAGATGTGGAAGATTTGCTAGTATGGGAGATTGAGAGTGATGGTTTGTTCTATGTTAAATCGTGTTATAATTTGTTCTTCCATGACCGTTGGAGATGGTCTTGCCATGAGCTTGTTCAAATATGGAAATGGCCTATTCCCCACAAAATTCAAGTTTTCATCTGGTTAGCGGCACAAGATAAAATTCTAACGATAGATACTCTTATGAAAAGGAGGAAAATTTTGCCAAATATTTGTTTTCTATGCAAACAAGATGGAGAATCAGTTGCGCACCTATTGATCCATTGTCCTTATACCTCTAGTATCTGGCATTGGTTGTTTAGCATGGTTGGTGTATCTTTGTTGCTGCCTCAAGGTGTAGCTGTGGTTCTCTCTCAATTTATACTTCCTTTTTTGCCTAAGGTGAGTAGTGTGATTTGGAAGATCGCAAAAGGTATGATTTTGTGGGAAGTATGGAAAGAGAGAAATATGTGAACTTTTTGAGGGTTTGGCTTTGCCTTTTGAGAAGGTCACTCATTTAATCAAATTGTCTATATGGTCAAGCCTCTCTGTGACTAAGGAGGGTTGGGGGATCACAAAAGTAGATGTTATGGTCAATCTTTCTAACTTATTTTCTCTTGGGGTGAGGTAATGTCGGCCTAAGGGGTTATGGTATGCTCCACCTACGAGTTGTCTGAAGATCAATTTTGATGGGAGCTCTATGGGGTATCCTGATCCAGCTGGCATAGGGGGTGTTATTCGTGACTGTTATGGGAATATTGTATTGTCCTATGTAGGACCTATTGGTGTGGCAACAACGAATTTCAAGGAAATGAGCGCATTGCTTAGGGGGCTAAAAATTTTCATAGAGCGGAACTTGGATACTAGTTGCATGGTTGAAGGAGACTCACTGAATGTTATTGGTTGGTGTAGAAAGGAGCAAAAGGTACCTTGGGAACTTCGGACTTTATGGTTATAGATTATGGACGCTTCCGCATCCTTATCTGTTTCTTTTTCCCATGTCTATCACGAGGCTAATGGTGTTGCTGATGCATTTAGCCAAGGGCGGTGTTTTTCTTGCTTCCTTTTCTATTTCTGATGATGTAATTTCCTTCTAGTCTTTCAATAAAACGCTTGAACTTTGGTCCAAAAAAAAACAAAAAGTGGCCTGGTCATGCTCAGCGTAGACCAAGTACAGTACTTGTTACGAAGTGCAAGTTGGTTCAAGTGGAAGGCTCAAAAAGGATAAGAGGTAGGCTGAAAAGGACAAGGTCGGAAGTAGTAAGAAAAACATATGGCAACTTACAGCCTCACTGAGGGTATGGCCCTTGATAGAAAAGAGTGATGTGAAACAGGATTTGTATACCCGACCCCAAATAGTTGGAAAAAGACTTTGATGATCATCATCATCATTATTATTATTACTTATTGTTATCATCATAATAAATACCATAAGCATAATTACTTAAATAATAGCAAATATTTATAATTTATTTTTTATTAATTTATTATTTATTATTTTGAGGTTTATCAATTGTATTCATTTACTTTATTTAATATATTAAAAAAACATTTAACTTTTTAAGGATATTGTTTTGATGAGTTAGCAGACATGTCTAGTTATATGGATCCAAAGTCCATCTCAAAGATGGATTTTGGATCCACAAAATTTAAGGGTTGATAATCTCAACAATGTGGATCATGAATATAAAAAGAGAAATAAAAAACGAAATCTTAAAAATTATATTGCTTTATTCCTATTATTTTAATTTTTGGAAGAGGCATGTTTATTGCCTTCCATCTTGATAGTGGAGGTTTGATATGTCACTGGATGCAGCCTAATAACTACATCCCTCGATACATCAAATATGTTTTCTATTTTTAGTTCCTAAGGATCTTGGTATATCATAATATTCATGAATGTTATAAAATATTTATTTTATAATCATGTTGATGGAATATAATTTATCATGTTTCAAAGTTCACTTCTTTTTTTTTTTAACTTTGTTATCTTCATAATGATAAATAAATTTTCTAAAGTTATTTATACTTTTAGCTATATATGTCCAATATGTGGTTATGCATGAAACTTGGTTTGATTAGGCCAAATATTGCATTGGATGATTATGCCTAACGTTTCAAAACAAGCCTCCTACCTCTTCCTTAAATTTGATTCTTGAAAGGTTTTCAATATAGCGTAGTACATAATAAGATATTTAGAGATTCAAGGAAGGGCCAAACTTCTTGCCACGTGGATCTATGAGAAAAACTCTCATAGTTGAGGGTCAATTATCTTTTTTTTTTGTGACAAATATTCAGAAATTTTATTGATGACTACGAAAAAGTTATTACATCAGAGGAAATAAGTAACGACGGTAGCAACAGCCAGAAAGTCCGCAATGGAATTTGCTTCACGATACACATGGGAAAAGGAAAAGGAATCGGAAGCTACCAAATCCATGTTTGCAACCAGAGAGACCTGAGTTCCCAAGGTTCCCGCTGTTCTTTTTTACAGCACTTAATCACATTCAAAGAGTCCCCTTCAATCCAAACATTTGTGCACATATTCCTCTCCACCAAAATTTTAATTCCACACAAAAGAGTACTTAACTTGGCACATTTTGATGTTTTGATTCCCATCGGGCCAGCATAGGAGAAAATTATAGTGCCCTGGGAATCATGCACAACTCTACCAATTCCAGCAATCCAAGGGTTTCCTTGCGAGCTCCCATCAAAGTTGAGTTTAATACAACCAACTGTAGGTGCAATCCAAACACAACGTGGCCTGTTGCGAACACAACCAAGGAGAAAAAGGTTGCTAAGATTTGTCATCACATCTGTTTTTGGAATTCCCCAACCTTCTTTTGTCACAGACAACCATAACCAAATCGAGTGCTTGATGTTGGTTAACAATTTATCGAAAGAAATGGAATTACCTTCAAACGTTCTTCTATTCCTCTCCTTCCAAACTTCCCACATAATCACACCTTTTGAGATCTTCCATAAAATATTGCCTATAGCAGGTAAATGGGCAACAGAGAGCTAGGAAAAACTCCTTCAACTAATTGGGGAAGCACCAAACTTACCCCAATAGTTACAAATAACCAATGCCAAATGCGAACAGTGAAGGAACAGTGAATAAGCAAGTGTGCCCCCGACTCCCCATCCTCTTTGCAAAGGGCCAATTATCCATGACTATATTAGGTTTGAGACTAGTAGGATCTATTACAGTGATCTTAAAGAGGTAGAGTATTTCATATGCCAATTTTTCTTTTTATTATCTTTCTTTATTTCCTCAATGGCCAGTTTGATAGATGGAAGCAACTTCATGAACTGTAAATTGGAAGTTCCTCCTTGCTGGGAAGATAGAAGTTACTGTAAGAAGTTCCTAGTTTTTGTGTTTGATAACCTCCTAGGAAGTTAAAGAAGTTCTTGGTTTCTCTGTTTGATAACATGCTGGAAGATTAGCAAGTGATAGTGAAAGTTGCAAAATGTAGAGCACACGTTTCCCATAACAATCATTCAAGCCCTAAAATGACAATAGAGAGTAAATGAAAAACTCCCTAAAAAATTAAAAAGAAGTACTTCAATAAATCTCACGCCATGAACTATTCATCCCTTCAGTTGTCAATAGCAGATCAAATACACCAAATTTTGGCAAAAAAAACAACCTAGAGAAAAACAGATGATATAGATTGTGATGAACAGAATCACTTATACCCATCTAGCAAGAAAGAAAAAAGACAGATCTTGGACACATTCAAATTGCACCTTTGACCCATCTAGCAAGAAAGAAAAAAACTGATCTTGGCCATCCACTCATCAACAATCTGAAGAAAAAAAAAAAAATGGCTAAATTTTTGTCCAAATGAATACATTTTCATGTTGAGAAGGCCTTCACAATAAATAAAAAAATCCAAATCAAATTGTGGCGATCTTTAATGTCCATCGATGCCGTAATTAGAAAGAATCCATTCACACAATTAAAAAATTGCATGTTTAGTGCATCTAGCAAGAGATTGAAAAGCAAGACTGCTTAGGCATCGATTCAAATATCCAAAGAAAGACTAACAATTTCATCTGAAAATCCACATTTTCATAAGAAAACAATCTCATAGACATCCATTCATAAAATATCAGAAAAAGAAATGTCTGAAAAAAGCAAGAAGTCTTAGGCATATATTCATCATTAAGAAGGTGTTCTCATAGACAGTAGTAAAAAAACCCAATTCAGTTGGGCGAGGAGGAGAATACAGTCTGCAGGGTTAGTCAGTTTCCTTTGGAACCCTAAAATGTTAATAAAAAAGAAAAACCATATTTCATTCACAAATTCTTCTTGAAATTTAATATGTTGGTACTCAAAAGGAAAAAAATATATATATATGAAGAAAATGCATTATTTTTTACTAACAGTCCCCGGTCCTTACAATCCTAGAAGTTCAAGACTCATTCATAGCATTAAAACTCTAAAAACTCTCAAACTGGTACTCTATTTTCAAAACTGAACAAAAAAAAAAAAAGTAAAAGAAAACAAAAGAGATAGAGATAATGAAAAGAAAATCAGAAAATGTAATATACATCATTAATTTAATCTTTGAAATCATACAAGACAAAAGCACACTCCAAAACCAATGATACTAAAAAATTTAAACATTTTGGTTTTATTCCAAAGAAGCCCTAAAATGCCCAATAAAAGAAAATCAGAAAAGTATTCTACCATATCCCTAAGCCTAACTTTAAATCAGAATATGCATCTTTTCTCCATTAATGATTTAATCTTTGAAACCCTGCAAGATAAAGCACACCCAAAACTAATGATTCTAATAATTTTCAACATTTTATTGTCCACAAAAGAACTCCTAAAATGCCGAATAATGAAATTTCTGGGTTTTAGGGGATAAAGAAATGTACCTTATGAAGAGGAGTTAGTGAGAGAGGGACATGGAGAGAGAGGAAGAGGGGTTAGAGTCAGAGGGAGAAGTACCTGATGATGAGGAGCAGTTGCGGAAGAGGTGGAGGTGGAGGTGGAGGCATGGAGGAGCAGTCGTGGAGGAGGCGGAGGTATGGAATGCAGTGGGCATGAGGGTGGTAAAGAAGCGAGAGGGTGAGGTTGGTATGAAGTTTCCTTTTAGGTTATGTGGTTTTCAACGGAACCTTTTTTAAAGTGCAAGTGGAAAGAGCTACTCCATAAACATCTTCTTTAAATATCTTATATTTTTTTTATCAAAGACAAAAAACATGAATAGTAACAAGTAAGTTTTATCATTTTAGGAACTGACTTCCGGGTATCAAATAGGCCCCAAAGGTGAAAAAGAAAAATGTGACTATATAAAGGAAAATATTTATATAAGATTTCAATCTTATATAGTATAGAAATAAAACACACTATGAAAAGCCAATAGAAAAAGGTCGTTGTGATGATAGAAAACCTTCCAGTTGATCATTTTAACTTTAAGATATATGAATATGCAAAAAAAAAAAATTACAAGTCTTAAAAATAATGCATCTTATCTAATCCAATTTTTAAGAGACTCAAAAACTTATATATTTGTTAAATTTACACTATTGTTGTAGGTTTAAATTCCAGGAGATAAATTAATTTTTTAGGTCTTTACGAAAACTATAGCTTCCAACAGAGTTGAGAGTGTGCCTTACTTTGATTTTCTAAGGTGGATGTCGTGTACAAACAGCACCCGTAGATAAAAACCCATTTCAGTTCATAGTAAATGAGTAGATCTAAGGCAGAGATAAAAATGAGATAATTAAATAAAAGATGTGGTTTCTATAGGGCTGCAGCCCCATTTATTAAAGTTGGGCTGCAGCCTCTGCACCGTTCATCTATGTGGACAGTAAAGATTTCTCACGCCGCCCAATAAAAGCAACTATAGGACCGGAGCCCCGTTGATTTCTCACGCCGCCCAATAAAAGCAACCTATAGAACCTGAGGCCCGTTGTTAATGTTACTTTTGTCCTTTTCAAACCTTCATTTACTTTCATTCCCTTCTCGTTCTAATGTTAATGTTATTTAATGAGATTTTCATCCACTTTGTCTCTCTACCACCGATCCAGTGACCCTTCGCACCCATTCCATTCCCAAATTTACTTTTCCCGTACAATCTCTCTTCATTTTACGTCTTTCTTTTATAATTTTCCTGTTCACCGGATCACCCCTCTCTCTCTCATTGACGTCTCTTCCCCAAATCACCTCTCTCTCCCGGGCGTGTTTATTTTTAATGAAAATATTCTTTCAGATTTTGAAAATATTTCGCGTTTGTTTCACACTTTTTATGAAAAGCTCATAAATTGATCTTTCAACAAAAATTCTCCAATCTTTTGTTAAAAAGTGAAAGATTCTATTTTTAGGAAGAAGATAGGAACTTAATTTTTTATGACTTTTTTGTTGATCACTATCCAATATTGCATAATATAAATATATAATATAGCATNATAATATGATATATATAATATAATATAATATTATATTATAATATATATATATTA